TGTTCGGCATCTAAAAGAATCAGCTATCAAATAAGGCAATTAACTACAATCAAATCTTTTTAATGTCCGAAAACTTTTCCCTGTTTATGGGCTCTTAACAGGGCTTGGCACGAGGTGGCTTTTCGAATATGCAAAAAACAAATTTTTTCTTGACTTTCGCAAAATCTTACGAAGTCGCCTTTTACCCTAAACCCTAAACGTAAAAAAACCATTTGAAAATGAAACGTTGACTAAAAGTCGCAATTTTTTTGGTGTCTTTTCGACTTCAAAACAGTATCCATTTGCTTTTTGTCCCAAAAACGTATCCAGCTGCTTATAGGCTACCTTTGCCGAGCACTGCCTTTTAGTATAGACTGAAAATATGACTTACTTTCCGTCTCTCCACATGAAGAAGTTTTCACCTCTCCTTTCAATCCGATATGTGAGATGTGTGAAACAACTTCTGGAAATAAAAGATATTTGTAGTCTATCATCTGTACTGACTTAAGAATCTTACTTATGATTCTGAGGAACTCTCGTGATTCTGTATGCCGTAGCAGCTCCAGGACATAGTAGATTGCAGTAACGGCGGGGTTGACCATTAGCATCTTCCTTGAAACAAAATGATATTGGAAATATTTTCGAAAAATTGAAAAATGCTTTTATACTTACATCAAAACAAGTATTCGTGGGGACTTTTCTGGGATTTTGATCATGTTCGTTTTCCTTCAGCAGGAGTTCGCATTCGGAAGCGCTTTTTGAGTCTTTTTCGTCTTTAGATTTACATATCAGCTCACGCCATTCTGAAAAGTGAACTTGTTGCAAACAAAGGAAAAAAGTTGATTATACTTATATGCAGAAAGAACATCACTCACGCCAATGAACGCTTTCTGCTATAGTTCCCAGGACCAAGCAGAGAAGAAGTGTTGCACGTAGCATAGCAATTCTTGCGCTCGAAACACGTCGCTTAAGTAATGCTCAAAGACGGATAAGTAGCGAAACGCAACGCCTTCATCCTGCAACTCGGAGGTCTTGTTCTAAGCGACCAACATAGAAACGAGATATGATAGCGGAGAAGTTATGACAGCGCGAACATCGCGTGAACAAGCGAACGTGCACTACCCGATAATCGCCAAAGTCTTATGTTTGATCGACAATGACAAAATTGTAGAAGTTGAGAGGATGTTGAAGCTATGGAAGCTACTTGTCTCTCTTTTGAGCATTGCTTTGGAATAGCTGTAGAATACGAGTAGCCCATAATTGATTAGTCTGTCATACTTATTGTTTACAATTTACTTGGAACGGAAATCGGATCTAAAGTCACAAGCTATCAGCAAGGTACTTCGCTGGGCTCGCCTTTGTACATGGCAAGACCCCCAACCCCTCCATCGTAGAGATAAATTAAGGGTACAGTTTCAAACTAAGATCAAGATCAAATAACTAAATACATGAGAACT